ACCGACAGTGATTCAATTCGCTTTTGCCGAATATATATATATATATATATATATATATATATATATATAAGAAAATCACTAGATGATGGACTAACCTCCAGATTCTTGCAACATTTCTTGGCAGATCTTCTATTGTTACAACGTAGGACACTCAATAAAAAATATGATTAAAATAGAAAATAAGAAAAAGAAACTAAATAAAATTGGTTAGACGATAAAACTAAGCACATATTAGGCACCTCAATAAGCTTATCTCGCTAGAATGATTACGACTGTTAGTGAGTTCGATTCTCACTGGGTGCTCCCCTACTTTCGGCTTTATGCCACATCTAAGCTATGCTTGGAAAATCAATATACCCAAGCACATATAAAACAAATTAAATTTCAGAGTCCCATCTCCTTCATGTGCATGTGTAGTTACAGCAACGCAAACATCACTTGAGTCCAATGAAGTCATAAAAAATGAAACCTGTTACACGAATTTTTTCCACTTTGTCATTAATTTTCCTAATACATACATACATACATACACCCACCCACACACACACACACATATATATATATATATATATATATATATATATATATATATATATAGAGAGAGAGAGAGAGAGAGAGAAAGACAGAGACAGAGAAATTTGAAAAACCCTGAATATGTGTTTCTATTTATTCAATATTAATAATACAGATAATATAGATGGGTTAATGTAAATGATTACGTGTTCAGGCAATAGGTTGCAAAATAAGGTCTACATAAACAGTACCTCAATATATCAGCAGTGCCCTAATATGTGTTGTAACCTAGGAAAGATTACTGCATAGAATAATCAAACTGAAGTTCGTAATGAACGATAATACTTAGGACAAGAGCAACACATATAAGATTCGCCAGCGGTGCGTAGAAGTAGTAGTCAACTGATAGAAGTGAGTCAACTGAATACCACAATAAATCTCCAACTACAGAATAACTACCAATCGCCCCACCTGGTCAGATGTGGCACAAAGCTGAATTTAATGTGGGGTATGCGAGCCCGTAGACACGCCCAAATATTCCCCGTAGAGCCCGTGTAAAACGGAGTCGGGTAGCTGTTACCCGAGACGAGACTCTTGCGTTTTGACATAGCTTCGTCTGGGGATCCTCTCTGCTCGGAGGTAGAGAGTTTGACAGTCACCAATGGAGACGAATCTCCAATTGCAGGATATCTACCGACTACCCCAGCTGTTTCCCGAGACAAGACTCTGCCTTTCGGTATAGTCTCGTCTAAGGACCTTCTCTGACCGGAGGCAGACAGTTTGAACAACACAGCTGGAGACGAATCCCCGACCGCAGACCAACATACAGTGTTTACTACTGCATTTATGTGAATGGGGATATACCCATTATCGTCCGTACGTATGATACAACAATATACAACACTCTATGACTCCTCAGTTGTTAACACAGATCTTTACCTTCACATGCCTACTACAGTACAGAATGTGAACGCTTTTCTTCAATGCATTATTCACACTTCTTGATTGTGTTTTCTGTAAAAAAGTTTAATGGTGAACTAAAGTAATTAATCAAGCATTGTCTTGTTTTATTTCACACACGTTCAATGGGGGGACAGTTTTGGCAGTCTGCCAACCACGAAATATTTTGTAGAGCATATTGCATAGTTCAGGCTTTCTACAATTGCATATCACCTTGTAAAAATACAGGCAGTAGAACGGATTGAACAATATTCTGGACAGAGATGGTTTCCTTCAAATACCTTGATGACAAGGCCTGCACGCCGCCATACAAGTGCATTCACCTTAAAGATAGTAGCAGTAGCAACTATAAATAAACCTATCATCATCAACTCTCGAATATAAAAACACGTGAACAAAGTACCTTTCTATTCTTCCGGGTTTATCCTCTTTCGAACTGCGTGACAGGAACTTTCCACGCTGACGCTACAAGGGCTGTGAATGCTTCACACTAAAACACACAAAGTAATGAACATTTCGTTGTGTACACGATTTACTTCTAAGAAAATAAATTCCTTTTTTAAACTTTACATTTATTAATTTTGCTTTAATAAATGTTAGTTTGAATTTCAAATCAATTGATCAGTTATTTTGTGTATGTAAACCACCATTGTATGCATTTACATTACCATTATTTCATGTGCTATACAATGTTCCCGTAAGAAACCATTTATCTATTGAAATAGCTAATCCCTAAACACGCAAACATAATGCATACTCTCATTATGGCAGGACAACATTAAAGATACAGAACGCTATTCGATCTCCCAGGTGAGCCTCTCGGGACACTAATTTAGACGAATACGATGGTGTTATGCCGTAAGAGGTAATCTGGATAGACATATATACCAGCAATTTGCCCAATCTGCGCTTTACCGTTGCTGTTGCATCTGTAGTATATGGTCATCCAGAACCTGGTCTAAGACGAAAATATGATAATCCAGTCCTGAAATTCCGACTTCTATCATACGGCTCGAACTCAACCCCCCCTTTTTTTTCTCCGTGATATAACACTTATTTTCACTAGGCTCTTTTACAACAATAAACCTGATCAAAGCTCGTCACCGTCTAGCGCCCAGAGACAGATGGTGCACTACTATGAGTGTTGCTGTTAAAACTTGAATAATGCATGGAATAATAATACAACACAAAATGTACTTAGAACAAAATGTATTGAAACAAGAAAGTGTACACAATATTTACATATAGTCTTTTGTATATTCTTGGGAAGACCGTTCCTGGATAATGTGTTGACTTAGTCGCAGTCGGCAGAGTCTCTGGATTGAATCTCTTGATTCCTTCCCTCGTCTTCCCGGTACAAACCATATTTATATGGTCGGTACTCCACTATGCAAATTAGGTGGATCCTACCACAACAGTTGCAATATCCCAATTTTGACCGAAGATTATAAATGCTTTCAGAATATCCATCTCCCTTTAGTAGACATATAATGTACCCAAATCCAAATCTGTATTGTTCTTCAATTGAATAAAGAGTTCGAAATTATTAAAAAAAAAAAAGGTGGGGGCTACAGAATACGATTATAGGTACCTGAAGAATGCGGGAGGATAAAGTGTCCAAGACATCATGGGTAGAAGAACCAAGATGTTCTTGTTACTCCGGATAATTGTTATATAGGAATGAAGTGTAGCTTCCGACACTTGAGTTTGAACATAGATCGCCAGTGAGCAAACAGAGGCGATCCCATTATTGAATTAAGTAGAGCACGTGACCATAGAGGAAACGCATATATGGGAGGTAGCGTGTGTCTAATTGCTCTGCATTTCTAGTCTATCCTCTATACTATACGGATCGCTGTTATCTACTCTATTCACTATATTATTTATCTATTCGGATCACTATTACTATTCGAGCTAGTATTATCGAGCAAGCCCCATTGGTGCGAGTGCTATTCGAAGGCGTCTGACACCAGAATTGTTCAACGGCGTACTATATTTGTATCTGCGATTACAAAGTCTCTACTACAACGAGCATTTACGAAAGTGACGCTGGCCTTACTAAAATGGCTACGATTGTTCGTAAATATAAAAAAATAACAATGCATAAAAAAACCTCCCTTGTATATATGTATAAATAAATAACCTACAAAATATTTAATGTATTCATTACTGAAAATGGAACCAGTGATTGAAAATATCTTCAGTGACAATTTTGTTTAATGCAATATCCGTTCGGAACGCGGGCGACCAGGAATCCATGTCGATTTTTCTCTAGAATGTGTGAATCATCATGCATTCTTGAGAGATACAATGGCGTGACTTCCCGTTGTCTTTTCTAGGATTTGACATCCTGAGTTTTCCTTCTATTAGATTGGTTGCAACCCAAAGCATACTATTGTGTCATTTAACTCATAGCTGAGCTGGGGAGCGGAGGAAAGACCAGTTTACATTCTTCGCAACGGCATTTGTGCGAAAGTGAACGAGGTAGACTGGAATTGGAACACGATTATAAGATCCCAATTTCCTCGCTGAACTATACTCGTTTCGAAAAACCCACGAATTTTTGATTTGCCAATAATCAAATCAATCTCGAAGGGAAAAAAGGTTTTAAAAAAAGAAAGAGCTAGAAACATGTAAGTCTGTTGAAAAAAAAATCGCACAGATACAGGTTTGAAGCCCCCCCCCCCAAAAAAAAACCGATACGAGTAAACAACTAACTAATAAAAGAGCTCAAAACAACCGTAGAGCAGACCTAGATAACCTGAGTGAGCCAGAGAAACCTACCCAGGTTTCACCTAAGCGGATCGTCAGGGAAAGCTGGCTCACTAGGTTTATATATATATATATATATATATATATATATATATATATATATATATATATATATATAATAATATAATAATATAATATATAATAATATAATTATATAATTATTTAATAATATATAATAGTAATACAATAATACATAATATAATTAATAAAAATAATAATAATAATAAAGGGATTATAATAGTATAATGATATATAATATCAATATATAATAATAATATATATATATATAATATAATAATTATACAATAATATAGTCATATATAATAATATATAATAATAATATAATTGGTATCAAATGACAATTGGAAAAAAATCTTAGATTTTGCCGACGCGTTTCGTCGTCCGACTTTTTCAAGGCAAAAATGAAATCGAAATGTTTTTGTTGTTATAGTTACATTAAAAATCCAAATTTAAAAAGATAGACGCTTCTGTCTAAGCTTTTTTTTTTTCTGGTTAATGTAAAATACCTTTATAGTAAGGGATTATTATTATTATTATAATTATTATATTATTTATATAATAATTATATAAATATTTAATAATATATAATAGTAATATGATAATGCATAATATAATTCTTCTTCTTCTTCTTATTATTATTATTATTATTAATAATAATAATAATAATAATAATAATAATGATAAAATGGATTAATGATATATGAGACAATGGATAAAATATAAATAAGGCAAACGGCGAAAAAAGGGACAAAAGAGCACCAATGAAATAGAAAGAAAGATAGAAAAGAACAAAATAGTGAGAGAGAACGAAAAGCAGGAGAAAGAAAGAAAGAAAGAAAGAAAGAAAGAAAGAAAGAAAAGAAAGAAAAGAAAAGAAAGAAGGAAAGAACATACGAAAGTCAGAAAAGGAAGTCATGATGAAAGTTTGACTAGAACCACAGAGGCATAAAAAAAAAGAAAAGCAAAATAGAATGCGGAGAGTGGCAGCGGCGGAAGTGGTGAGAATGGTGAGAAGGGTCTAAGGGTGGGAGAAGGAATAAATGCTGAGAATTTCCCAGTATCGGATGGCTAAAGAAATCTGGAAAATGTAACAAGTTGTTATTTGTGGTTGTCAACATTGCTCGATTGTTGTGCTCGCTCGCTCACACGCATACACATATGTGCCTGAATGTTTAGCTCCCTACATACCAACCGAAAAGCTAATAAACGTACATGAAATATAATTACGTTTCATTGGTATAAACACAAATATTAAGGAGTGGCAAGCGATATACACTTAAAATTTAAGCAGTTATGGTTTAAATCATGGTAGACAATATTATTTAGAATTATCAGATTTCCCACGAAAGGTAAGAGCATAAAACGTTCTAATATTTACGAATTAAAATATTCGTGCCAGTGAAATTAATCTATACTACAAACATGTAGACTTAATGCTTGTGTTTTTGTTACCGTAACGCACGCAAAAAAGAAAGTATGACCGAGTTGGATTGTTGTTAGTTCTCACTTGCAGAATAAGACCAGACAAGGAATCTTAAATGATTAAGTATAAATTGGTAAAATATTTCTGAGATAACTCAAGACTTATTATATCCTAATTTCAGAGCTGTTTTACCTTTTCTCAATAAGAGAATAAAAGAAATACACAGGGACAAATGCTTGACCTGTCTGCATTCTCCTCCGTCAGTCATAGTGACATACATGTGGGGATGCTTTAAAGATATTGAGGATAATTAAGTTTACTGTTGCAAATGATTCTACCATAAATTCTATGAAAAGGAAGTGACTTAGCATCGAACGGAAGTAGTCAAAGTATATATATATATATATATATATATATATATATATATATATATATATATATATATATATATATATATATATATATAATATATATATATATATATATATATATATATATATATATATATATATAAAAAAAAATATATATATATATATAAATTATATATACATATTATTTTAGCCATACAACCACGCAAAATCACACATACACGCAAAATCACACATACAGGCAAACACACACACGCAAACACACACACACACACACACACACACATATATATATATATATATATATATATATATATATATATATATATATATATATATGAGATAACGATATATATATTTTATATATCAAGAACAGTATTGGGGAAATTTTATGACAAAGTGGGAAAAGTTTACTTGTGACGCGTTTCTTTCTTCAGCACTTCATCAGACTAATATTTTTTTTTATGTTGGTAGGACTGCACATGCGCACGACTGTGGGATTCTGGGGATTTTAGATTTTTTTTTATCTAGACCTGTTCATTTAGAAACATTTTCTTTTTAATTTTGTAAGTAGATTTTCCACACTGTGGTATTAGAAGATCTGCCAGGAATGGTGAAATATTGTAAGAGCCAGTTTGAAAAATTTACTGTAGATGATCCTGCGATTAAAGCCCTCTTTAGACTTTTAAATCGTACTGAATTATTTCTCCTTTGATCAGAGTACAATTTTTCTATATCAAAATTCTTGCCAGTCTCCATCTCTTGGGTAAAAATATAAATTGAGCACAAACAGAAGTGAACTCATTGTTTTCTTTAGTCCCTTATTTTATATGCCGTGTCCTTTTAGGACGTGTGCGGGTATACCTTGTCACGGCTTCCTGTTTTTGTATATTTAAACAACGCTTGATTCTTTATCATCTCTCTTTATTACCGCTTTGGCATCCATTCACGCAAAATTATTAAGTAGATTACTTGTTTCACACTGTCCTCCATTCTTCAATAGGTCATGTGAGTGTTACATTCTCTAAACCCTCTTTCCTTATTATATGTCCAAGAAATTTAAAACGACTCCTTCTGACTTTAAGTGTCCTTCCATTTTATTTAGAACTTCCTCATTTCTCAGGTGTTCTGTCCATGTTATTCTCACTATACATTTGTACAACCACATCTCTATCGCTTCGAGTTTCTTTTTCATCTGTAAGGAAAATGTCCAGCATTCACTACCATATAGAAGAAAAGATATGACATTGAAGTCCAGGACTTTTTAGTTTCTGACTAAGTATTTTTTTTTTGTCCTAAAAATCTCCTAGGACATTTGGGAGGAATAATAAGTAGATAAACATTTCTTAAAGTTATAGCTACGAAGGATTTTGGCACATAAAAGAATAGACGCCGTTTCTACAAGAAAGTTTTGGCCGATGACTTTTTCATAATCATTACGTAACCACACACATTCTTATCAATAGCTTCAAGCAAAAAAAAAAACATGCATGGGAATATGTAAACATTTGCACTTGTGCTCGACGTTACATATATGCAACATTACGTACAAGTGCACACACACATACACACACTCGCACGCATACACAATCGCATACAGTGAAAGCAATAGAAACAGTATATATATATATATATATATATATATATATATATTAGAAAATAATCAAATTATTGCGTAATACATGCTCTTTTAAAACTTTCGTTTCTAGCGAATAGAGGAAATCGTCTGCAAAGAGCCGAACAACAGAGTATTGAGTTGAGCGAACAAAACCGTCCTTATGTGACTCTCCTTCACTCCTGTTTTCCGTTCGAACTGATGATCTGATAACTTATCGTAATCAGAAGCGTTTTATTATTATTTGTATTCGTTGAGTGTTCTCCCCACGTGTAGTCTCTGGTGGCTTTAACGGAAGATAAAGTGACAGCAAGTCGCTTCACTAACCTATGACTCTTCTTAGTAGCTGGATTTTAGTAGCAGCTTTTTCATGTTATAGACAATAACAATATATACAGATGGCTTTTAACATATTCAACAACTTTTCAGATTTCTGGTGAAGTCCAGAAATTTTTCAAAACATTTTCGCATTGTTTCAATTTTTACATTGTTGTCTTCAGCAGCAACGTCATACACTAGCTGACCTCTTTTCTTCCACCGATTAGATCTGGTAATTTAGCTAAGCGTAACAGCCCGGTGTATACCCCTATCAAAGAGTATGAAGGGAGTTATTCTAGGCTGGGCTATTTTATACCAGTAGTATGCGTTAGGCTAGATTAGTTCATACATCCACCAATAAAATGGCTTAGGCTAGTTTATAATCCCTACCAATAAAATGGGCTAGACCAGTTTATACTTCTACCAATAAAATAGACTAGATTAGTTTATACCCCTACCAATAAAATGGGCTAGACCAGTTTATACTTCTACCAATAAAATAGACTAGATTAGTTTATACACCTACCAATAAAATGGGCTAGGCCAGGTTATACCTCTACCAATAAAATGGGCTACACTAGTTTATACACCTACAAGTAAAATGGATTAGGCCAGTTTATACCTAAACCAATAAAAAGGGCTAGGCTAGTTTATACTTCTACCAATAAAATGGGCTAGTCCAGTTTATAACCATATCAATAAAATTGGCTAGTCCAGTTTATACCTCAATCAATAAAATGAGCAAGGCCAGTTTATACCTGCACTAGTGAATTTAGTATGTACCCAAAAGGCCCAGAATATATACCCAACAGGCCTTCAATATATCCACCATTTTCCCATTAAATAAAATGAATATTACTGTATCCACAGATGGTAGTCGAGAATATTATAGATCATGCTGTGTCAGACGCTCGCATGGATTTTTGTCGTTTATACTACAACTCTCTATTTTATGTGAATTCTTGAGATTGCATAATAGTAAGCCCAAATTTTGGATAGTGTATTGATTTTGTGTATTCAATGCCTGATTATTACTGAATGAGTTCATGTAAGCCATGAAAAGAAAAGAACTCCCAAATTTGCTGGTGAGGGCCTCAGACTGAACACAGAGGCCTACATCAAGTTCCTTGTGGAGTTAGTGCTGCCCTGAGTCAAGAGGGTGGCTGCTGGAAGACCCTATGTCTGGCAACAGGACTCTGCACCATGCCCCACAAGCATGAGAAACTAGTCATGGCTTTCAGACAATTTCTGCGACGATATCACCCCTTACATCTGGCCACGTAACTTCCAGGCTGCAACTTGATTATTATGTGTGAGGTGGAGCTGAGAGAGAGAAAGAGAAAACAACAAAATTCCTTGTAACACTAAAGATGAACTGAAGGCAAGGATTGTGACAACTTAATCAAGGAAACCGTCCGATTTTATTAAATAAATTTACTCTTTGTTATTTCAAGATATTTTTGTGTAATTTTGGTAAATATATCTGTTAAAATGAGATGTCGGTGTTATTTTCATTTTTGCGTAATTTAGAGAGATATGTTGGTTAAATAAACAGTATTTTTTATCCAACTACATCTACCATCCTGAATATTTGAGGAAACTTGTCAGAAAAAATATGAGTCTTCCTAATATTCAGGCTTGTAAATGTAGTTGGATAAAAAATACTGTTTAATTAACAAACATCAAAAGTAACATTTTAACAAAATAAATTATATATATATATATATATATATATATATATATATATGGCTAAAGTGAACATTGACATCAACACAGACATTTTCATGCTAAACGCATGCGTTGTGTTTTTTTTTTCTCGACTATTTATATATACGGGTCAGTGAGGAATTGTGGGTAGTCTGGTCTAAAGGTTATTTTGACGGGAGTGTTTTGTCAATTTGTTTATTATTTATTTTATTTATTTATTTGGATTAATTTATTTTACTTGTTTTTGCTTATGTATTTTTATTTTATTTATTTTTTATTTATTCTTTTGAGTTTTCGATTTTTAAGTAAAGTAGTAAAAATTTGTTTTCATGTCTGCATTTTGAAATAAGTTCTGATCGTTTATTTAGTAGTTTGTTTTGGTCTGGGAAAGTAATTATAGCTATTTTTTTCCTCCAAACAATGTTTTCCTGTTTTGGGATGGATTGTTATAGTCTGATGTTCTTTTTCTTATTTTGTTTGATATTTTGGTGTGAATTG